GCATCACTGTACACCATGACTGGTATATAATATTCCCCCTGTCTAAAATGAAGCTTAGTTCTTGCTCCACACGCCAACGCTAGGAGATGACAAGATTCTGATGTGGTTGTAGGAAAGACTTCCAGAAAATATAATGAGATAATATCTTTCAAAGTTTGTGAATTTCTTTCTCCTCTAATATTTTTTGAACTCAGTCCCAGTTTATACTGAGAAGTCATCCTAGATATCCTAGTGGGTGACAGGGCTTTCCCATCAGCCAGGAATTTCAGGATAATAAAGCAGTCTCTTACACTGACCTTGCAGTCTGACTCCTCGACTTCACTTGCTGCCTCTGTAATGACTGAACCTGGACCTTTTGCCTAATTGAAACAGATCTGCCCCGAAGTGGAAGAGTCTAAATTCAGGATAAAAAGTAGACAAATGGTAGAGGGAGAAAACAGAGTAGCTTCTACATTCCATTTCACATTGATACCCCATTATGATAAAAATGTTCTTTCTTGACCCAGCCCCTCTGATATTTTACCATACTCATCTTTGGGCAGAGTTTTCTCTTTTTCATTATTTCTAGAATAATATTCCTTCTTATCAGACACTATAGGCAGACACCTGGCCCTGAATTCTATTGCTTTTCCCCCAAATTTCCCTGTATAGAATTTTGCAGTTTTCTCCAGCTGAGTTGTCTGAAACCTTCACAGTTTTCAGATAATGTGCATGAAAATAATTTCAAACACTAACAACAGGGAGACACAGAACCTCTTGGAAGCTGCTGCCAGTGGAGCATTTGCCCGGTCCTATAGCAGCTGAGATGCTGGGGATTGAATTTCTCTGAATAAGTTTGTGGCCTATCAGCAGTTGCCCCAGCAGGAGATAAATATCTCTCTGGGATAGAAGAATGTGCAGGACATGAATAACAGTCCTGCACATTCTTGCAGGACAAAGATGCAAAGACATTATACCAGCTTGTGTGGACCATAAACTAGGGGAAAGCATGGTATCATCCCCTCCAGTGTAGTGTGGAAAGCGACCGAGGGGTGATGTCTAGAAATGAAGACAGAGCTATGGGAAACCATAATTTGAATTTTAATTCTTTTCCGTGTTTCAGCCCCAGCTGAAGGTGCTAATGATCACTAAAATTTCTGTAAGTAGACGCCAAAGAGAAAAAGGAAAAAAAAAGGAAGAGCCACGACTTAATAGCCAGCCCTTCAGAACTGATAATGCATTCCTTTCCTAGTTAGTCCACCCACTCCCAGGGAGTTAGGGACATAACTGGTCCCCAGAATATCATACGGTCACTTTCAAATCCATAGTGTAAAGAGGGCAGTTTCCCTAGCCTGTCAATAAAGGACAGAGTCACTGTTCTTATCTCTGGCAGTTTCCCATCCCTTAACCTGTGTTTTTCTTAAGCTTTCCCCCTAAATCGGGATGGGAGGAGAAACTTCGGTGGGAGGAACAGAACTTCTCCCATCTACTTGCTCTTTCTGGGGTAATAAGAGTTTGTTCTTTGTGGATTTGCCAGTCTGGGCCCCCGCTGGGACCGTGTGAGTGAGCACGGCGGAACAGCCCACCTCCCTGTCCTCCTGTTAAACCCCTGGAGGACTACAGACAGGCTGACAAACAGGTGTGCTTAGCTAGGGCCGAAGTGAAGGCCCTGGTGGAAGATTCGTTTCTATACAATGAAAAGCGTGACGACTAAGCTTACTCAGCTGACCAGGAACCAGGAGACTAGAGCTGGCGTCAGTTCCCTGCACTCTTTGTAAGTAGACAAGCACAGGATTGGTAATGGGAGACAGAACAAAAGGATGTTTCTTAAGAACATGTGCTGTTCTTTGCTGAAATTCAAAGAAGAGAGATCAGTGAGGGAGAGCTGGGAGTTAGATGTTTAGAAGGAATATTTTAAAACAACAGTTTGGACTTTTGCCCTCACATGATAGGTTTTGGCTTAGATTTGCAAAGCTGGCATTCCAGAAGTTGTTTTATTTCTACCGAGGTATTAATTAAGCTACCACTTGGTGCCATTCTCACAGACAGTGGTTAAGTGGGTCAAAGATTGACATGCTTTTAACTTTTTAAACGAAGTAGTACTCTGATAAAAGAGC